CCACCCCCCTCCCCTCTAGAACCCTCAGTTTGTTTCTCAGAGTCCATAGTCTCTCATGGTTTGTCTCCCCCACCGATTCCCCCCCCCTCGCCTTCATTTAACTAGGAATTTTCTACTGTCATTTTCCCATATGTGGAAACTCCCTTGAAAACTGTCAGCAAGGTGCTGGTTGCTCCCTGAAGATTCATTGTTGAGGGCCGCAGTTAGGACGCAGGATTTCAATCATGTAGTACAGCCACAAAAAGAAACATGAATAGCCAACAGGAAAAAAAGAATTGGTTTCAAGCTATTTTCAGAATTTCCTGTTCATGGAATTTGGTTGGTGGTGCAGCCTCAAAAGGGCCATTTTCACTTACCGTCCTGTCAGCCTCATGAGATACACATCGTTACGCATTGTTACAGAAAAGCTAATTTTTCTTTGTTCACAAGTGTTGCCTCAGACAGCCCATAGACAGTTCATATTTGCTGGCTAGGCGGTTCCTGAGGTAAGCTGTAGCTAAGAGAAATCGGGTTTTATAGTAACTGGCAGTCAGTATTCAGCCCGACTGGTTTATTTAACAACTTCTCATTCTATACTGTGGCTTCTCAGGCTTTTCATTTCCTTCCTTTACCCTAAAGCCCTCATTACCTTAGTAAAATCTTGCCCAGCTACAGGGATGAACTGGGGGCCTGGAGCTTAGAAGAGAAACTTGTTTTAAACCGAGAGCACGTTACTGAAAGAAAAAGGTAGTGTATTTGCTGAAGTCGGGAAAAGGCAAATACCGCTTCTGTCTGCCAAGATCTCTTCAACCTTTGGACATTCTGCTTCAGTAGCAGCTCTTTCAAGAATTCATCCCCTGACTTCTTGGTTTGGAAGATGTGGGAACTTAACTTTTATGTAGATGACAGGAACAGCCCAAGGACCTCAGGAGTGGTGCATCTAGACTTCAGCTGTGGGTCAGACAGTCTGGATTTTACTGGTAAGCTAGGCTGAACCAATCAAGAACCCAGCGTCGCTGGGGAAGCAAGACAACATGTGCCTTCTCACCAGCTCTGTCTCTGTTCCCTTTCTCCAAATCCCTTGTGCCCTCCAGATGAGGATTTTTTCAACATTGACAGTATTGACATTTTGGATAATTCCTTATGGTGGGTAAACTGTGCTGTGCACCGTGGGATGTTGAGCAACATCCCTGGCCAGTGACCCCTGCCCTAGTTGTTATAATCAAAATGTCTCTAAACTTTTCCAAGTGTCTCCTATGGGTGGGGGGGCGGGCACACAGTTGCTTATCCCCAGTTGAGAACCATTGCTTTAGTTGGGTGACTTAACCTGAGCAAAATAATTCTTCCCCTAACTGGAGGCCATGGGTATGTGAGAAAATATCCCTGGGGTCAATCACAGGCAGGATGGAGCCTCGGGGATTCAGGGAGGGGATGATACCAAAGAAAGGGTGTCTCAGGCCTGCCAATTAAAAAATATATCCTGGGCGCCTGGGTGGCTCAGTCGTTAAGCGTCTGCCTTTGGCTCAGGTCATGATCCCAGGGTCCTGGGATCGAGTTCCGCATCGGGCTCCCTGCTCCGCGGGGAGCCTGTTTCTCCCTCTGCTTCTCTCTCTGTCTCTCATGAATAAATAAATAAAATCTTAAAAAATAAAATAAAATAAAAAATATATCCTGGTAGCCCCCACTTACATTTTTGGTTTTGGCATTGTAGCAGCCAAGGGCAAGCTGCCCCAGGATGGGCTACTTGGGCATGAAGATTATCTTGAGTTGAAAGTAATCAAAACCCAGCAGAGTCAGGAAAAGCTCTTTTCTTTCCCCTCAATGGCCTAAACAGAATGTAGATAGAGGACCTGCTCCAAAGAGAGAGCAATCACCATAGATAACTCTAATAATATGAACCAGATACCCTAGACAGGGAGGAACCTAGCAAGGTCTCTGATCAAAGTACTCTCTGTCCCATTGTTCCTGAATGGCTCAGCAAACATTTGTTTACCAAACATTTACTTTTTTTCATCTTTCTGTGAACTGCATTCTTTCCCTTTGAAGTCCCGGGCCC